CAGTTTCTTATGAGCTTTGCCCACATGTCAGCTTTTAGCACAGAGAGAGTCCTACATAAGACTTTGGCCTGATTTTGTGATTTTTATGTTATGGGTCTATTAGTCACTCCTGAAATTCAAAATCCGACTTATTAAAGAAATTATTCTTCCTGAACCATCTTGATTTACTATAGTTAATTCATCCAGTGGTACACCAAGCATTAAGACGTGGCTCTTAAATACAGGAATGGGCCCTTCCTCAGAAGCTAGACCTAACCAATTCACACGTACATGTGTGATGTAGATGCATCTGATCACAAATCTCACCAGTTTCAAAATCAAATACAAAACTTACAGCTTCCACATATTTTCCTACAGCGTCCATTCCATACTTATACAAAAAAGCATCCTACCAATTAAAAGAACTGTTGTGAGTACTGGCTGGAAGGAACTGTATCAATGCTGACAATATCATGATAAATATCAGTAGAATAAAGGTGACAGAGAAAAATGGAAAAGAAAAGCCCTTAGAGAATCAGAATTTGAGAAGGCCAGTGAAAGCTTTGTAAACCAGTAAATTAGACAAACCAAAACAAAGACTGACAGGAGCAAAGGCAAAGAGAGAGACAGTACAAAACAGGAGGAAGGCAGAGGGCAGGCAGGCCGGCCACCCAGCCACCACCAACATCAGGATGCGGAAATGTGTGCTGCATCAGTCCATCCAAAACTATATTATTTATTATAAACCCATCTTAGTGATTCAGAGCAAGATAGCCCTCTACCATAAAAAAGACCAGTCCTGCCCCTCTTTTGCACTGTCTCTGGAAACCAGCTGATCTGGCACCTGTGTCTTGACAAGTTTAGCTAACCCTTTTCCTAGGCTAGTGTCATACTGCTTTAATCTAGCCCCAGACCTGATATTGCAGTCCTAAAATCATTGAATTGTCTACCACTTCAGAGGATTCTTGTTGCCCTCTGTAACCTTGCAATACGGGAATAAAATTGGCATTAGAGAGGCAACTCCCTCATTCCCAAAAAATAACCCCCTCATTTTGACTGTTCCCACCTCCCTGAAAAGTAAAAATTACCCCTTTTTGACCAAAAATAAAACTAACAATGTTTATTTTGTAGTACAGCTGAAGAAACACCAAAATGCTAGTAGATGACATGTTTCCATGAGGAAGCAGTCTTGGAGTTTTAATGGCACCTGTGGAAAGATCCATCTACCTGCCCAAAGAGTTGTCTCTTGCTGCAAAATACCAGTTGTTTTCACCTGCACGTGTCATTTTGGAAATATGATACTTTTTCTAGTATTAAACGCTACTTTAAATTTTTCAGGTTCATGTGAATGACATGCATATCACCACTATAACTTATTGTACCATTCTAATACATGACAGTTTGTAAAGTGAGGGGAATGGTAGGTACACCAACCTAGCAAACAAGTTTTATAAAATAAAATTTCCATAGTAATAGTTTTTGGTGCTTTGTCTACTGTGCAACCTCAACTGACATAATTTCTTTATAGCTAATTTCTCTAATGGCTGGAAGCTTGGCATCCTTCATTGAAAATGAAGATTAATTTTAAGTCTGTTCAAAGACAATAAAAAACTAACAAACTTCCACCATTACATAGACCTTTATAAAATATGACTAGATATGCAATTCACCATCAATTCATTACCAACAGTCACATATCTCCATGGTATTATTATATTTGACCAGATTTTGTACTGTGATTGTACACATTAAGCCTTGACAGATTTTTCCTCTGTATATGAGGAATCTAGAAAACTAAAAGTTATTTTCTTTATAAATTAATTTTAAAATAGTCAAAAAACCATGCAAGTCATAATCCTTTAGATTCTGAAACACTCTTCACTTGTTTTCACTTGTTTGCCTTGTGTTTAGGTTAGCAGAGTAAGCGATAATGAAGTAAGATTGTTTCAAAAAACATTAACATCATGGGGAAGAGGGCATGAAGGGAAGAGAGAACTATGAAAAAATTAGTAGGCTGACTTGACTACTATCTTAACCTCCTACAGAATGAGCTCTTCAACCTTCATAATAGCTGAATTACAAAAGCTTTCTGAATCTTAGCAGTCTCTTTAAATGAGCATCTTCGATACGTGCAATGTTTTTTTCTCTTTTTATTGACAGAATCTGGTTTTTCATATGTTATTTCCCAAAGATTTCACCTAGTAGATTGCTCTTCTACAGTAAAAAAAAAAAATGAAAATTTTCCAGATACTACAACTTAACAACACTGATATCATATTTGCACATCTGTTGCCTTTATTTATATTTGAACCCTATTTGAAAATGCCATTAATTTTTCCTAAAATCAAATATGCACACAAAGACCAAAAGCAAAACAAAAAAGGAGGGTAAGTGGCATATCAAATTCACCATGTATGTGAACTTCAGACCTACTCAGGTCAGATTTTCACTGTGTCCCCATTGAACAGTTTCTTCTACCTTGAAAGGCTCAGGATGAGACAAAGTCACTTTGCTTCTCTTTAGCAAGTTTGCAACCGTAATCAAGAAAGTTTATCAGCAACTGGAAAATAGAACTTTAATTTTATTTTCCATAAAAGCATATACTAACACCAAGATAATCTGCAATTTAATCAACAGTAGTACATACTTATTCTACTCTTTTCCATCAACAGAATGGGAACAGAATTAATTTCTCATCATTCCAAAATACACCTTTCTAGCTATTCTATCACTGTCCTTTCTGTGTGCTAATGTCAATGCCTCGTAAACTTAGTCTACTATCTGTCATTTTTGTGAAGCTTATAACTTCTGCACTAAGAACTTTAGCATTGATCCACATCTAGAACCGAGACTAGTGGAGAGAGATGCAGATGAGGTGTAGGGACATGGTTTAGTGGTGGGATGGCAGTGCTAGGTTAACGGTTGGATGTGATGATCTTAAAGGTCTTTTCCAACCTAGATGATTCTGTGATTCTATGATTTAAGTAGCTCCCCCTCTCCTGTTCATTAGAGGCGTGGGGGAGGAAGGGGAAGCCACATGCACCTCCAGAAAGGGTCTGTTAATCCTGCAGTCGATGGGGTTGCTCTTTGGGGACGGCCCGTCTGTCACACCGGCCACGGCCAGCGTGAGCTATCGGACTTGCAGGGGATGTGGCACTCAGTCGTCCCCTTCCCTTGTGCTGCAGCTGATCGAGGACCTCAGGAAGCAGCTGGAGCACTTGCAGCTCTTCAAACTGGAAGCTGAGCAGCGAAGAGGCAGGAGCAGCAGCATGGGGCTGCAGGAGTACAACAGCAGGACACGGGAGACGGAGCTGGAGCAAGAGATCAAGCAGCTCAAGCAGGTACGCAGGGCTGGGCAGAGGGGGAAGCCTCTCGGCTGCTCGGTCTGCAAAAGGGGGTGTCACATCCTGCACCGAGGAGTGCTCGGCAGGGCCCGGGGCTCACTCCCGAGGAGCTGACCATGGATCTGGCAGCCCCCTGCTTTCTTGCTCTCCTGTCCTGAGGCGGGAGAGGTTGGCTCCTTCCACTGAAGGTCAGCACGTGCACTCGAGAGCCCCTCTCTGCTGCGTCCCCTGGATCTCCCCAGCACGTTGTGTGTCTCCAGGGGTTCTCCAGGCTCTGTCAAATCGGAGTCAGGAGACAGAGTGCTGCTCCCAGCGCTGGCTGAGCTGCTGGTTAGGATGAGAGCCCTCGCCTTCCCCGGCCGGTTCTGCTCTGGGGACACCACGTGCCTCAGCACCATCTGATGTTTGTCTGTTGTGAACAGGATAACAGGAACCTGAAGGAGCAGAACGATGAACTGAACGGGCAGATCATTAACTTGAGCATCCAAGGAGCCAAGAACCTCTTCTCAGCCTCCTTCTCTGAATCCTTGGCAGCGGAGATCAGCTCAGTCTCCAGAGACGAGGTACGTGCCGTGGGGTACTGCTGACCTCAGACCCCATCTTCCCGGGGCGGCTGGTGCATCTCCTCTCCTCTCAGCCACCCGAGGGCCTGGGAGGAGTTGATGTGGCCCTGTCTGTGCTACAGCTCACTCCCAGCATTCACTTGAAAGCTGTCGTGAGCCAAAGAAGTACCCACACAACTATTTGAAGAGCTTGCAGGACTTACCCCGCCTGCCAGCCCTCCTTCCTGGGAATAGGGGAAGCTGCTCCCTTCCAATCTGCTGAGACTGGCAGCTCTGCTTTGCCTGCCCTGTGACTCCTTCCCCTTCCTGGGGCAGACCAGCGAGCACGGGGTGTGTCTGTCCGTAGCTTAAAACAGATCTTAGAAAAGATCTTGGCTTCTCTCTGCTCTCCCTGCTCGTGGCTCTAGCCCAGATACCGGTGTGCAAGCCTGCGTGAGCGTCAGAATCACAGCTTTCAGACCCTGAGAGGTGTAATGGGAAAACACAGGTTTTGGGGGCCAAAGGGAGATGCAGCCTGCTTTCTCCAGGGTCACATCTGGCTGAGAAATTGAGGAAGGACAGGAGTGAGCAGGGCCAGCAGCTGAGGGCGTCTCCTCATCTTAGGCCTGAGCCTCCTGAAGGAGGGAGAAGGGCTGGGGGGAGTCCCAGAGATACCAGTACCCATTCCTCTAGCAGTTGGGCAGCTGGGCACCAGGCTCAGCCTGCCGGGCCTGCGCCCCCCACCTGGGGCTCCG